ACGTAGTAAATGTCAGAATCGATAAATTACTAATTTTGTAACTGGAGTAATTTAAACAACAATAGATATACCCAAATATGTTACAATAAGTCACAATAATTGCCACAAAATATTTAGGAAGATATTTGTGCTGTAGGAGTGGTAAGAAGTAATCTAGGGAAATTCGTGAAAACGCTGTGAACAAGAATAAGGATTTTCAAATAGTGTTACCTCAATGTCAACATATTTCACTTAAACAAACCATCGAAAATGAACTGTTCTATGTTATTAACATTAACAGATAACAGAAGAACATGTAAATCGCAGCTTCTGTATATCATGTTTCCTTGTTTGTTTCCCCTTCGTGGGTTCAAACTGTGCATGTCTGACGTCATTTCACGAAACCTGGAGAGGACAACTAAAAATAGGATCGATTTGACAATAGTGAACATGACATGCGACTTGAACGTCATCACACTGGCGGAATTTACATAAGCATTATACCGAATAAGAACAATGATTTGTGCTGCAGGTGTAGCTTAAACGAGAATCGATTTTCGAATCGGAAATACGCAGTAAGATTTGTAGGATAAATTTAATTTTGGTCCATACCGATCCTGTGTCAGACATGCTTTATTTTTACGAAGGTATATTCCCAGAAAAGCATATAACGTTTTAAATTCTGCAACTTTTAATCTCAAACGTATTTTCGGTAAGGTAACTACTTCGAAGTTAATGGCTTTATTCAAGATATTATTTAACGTTTCATTAGTTTAATCGGCTTTCATAAAAAGTAATATTTCTGTTTATCAGTTTAAACAGTAGTGTATTTTCATCCGAAATTACAAAATAATTTTGTATACTCGAAAGAGTAGTACACCTATGTATGCTTAATTTTGTCTGAATCACCCCCAGGCAATGCCATCAATCAAAGTAAAATTGGATGCCATAGCATTAGATTCATTGCGTACCCTTGGGTAGGTTTAGCTCAAGACAATACTTCTTATATATACAATAAACAAAGAAATAACGTGAGAAGACTTTCCATTCTTCCGGTCAATATGAAGCCCATAAACAGACTTTCGCTTTTATTTATTAGATGTCGAAAGTAGAGTTTTGAATCTGAACAGCTAAGCTAAGGTTTCGGTAGAAAATTCCGAAGACTCGGCCATTCGGGATTCAAATTTCAAGCCGTTGGCTAAAATTCCAAGCCCCCGTCACGACATTCAATAGGCCTACTACTTGCTTCTATGGTAAATTTAGGTTGGTATGCGTGGAAAATACATATTAATTGAAATTAAGTCCTGTGTTTAAAGCATATTAAAATTCCTCCTTTCATATCTTCTACCGTCACTCTTTATCTACGTTCTGTTTACACATCTTTATCTGCTTTACTCCTTTCTCCTGAACAACTTCTTATTCTCCTTTCCTTTACCACTTACGTGTCTTTATCTTACCTTTGTCACATTTTCTTAAATCTCTTTTATATATTAGTGTCATTGGCCTTTATTCCCACCCCTAACAACTGCACCTGGTTCACTCATCACAACATATTAAATTTTATATTTTCACCATTTAAAATATTACCATAAGTACACGTTTAAAATTAATGTCCATCATACACAGCTTATTCAGTGAAAATATTTTAGCCAATGCCTTCTAGACGTCTCTAGATAGAAGGAAAAAGAAACCAGTGTAAAGTACGTTTCGGGCTCTTGTACGGAATGCTTTGTCAATTAGCGTCATTACAAATTTCCAGGTCAGCCGTGTTCCGTGTTACAAATTTATACATCCTTGAGCTAATGTGTTACTAAGCGCCAACGAATCAGAATGAGATCCAAGACCGAGCAGTTAAATAAATTTCTTTGAAGTGAGAAAACTGAAAAATAAAGGAAGAATCGGATGCAATTTTTTTAGATAATTACTTATATCGAATGCCTAAAGGCTAAACATTCGATTTTTTAACTGTGTCATTAATCAAGGGGTCGCTTGTTTAATGATGTGATTGTGATATCAGCGACGTAGTTTTAAATACAGTTTTAAACTGAAAACCCGCCTCCTGCCTAACAGTATCTTCAAAGTGAAAATATATTTAGTTTGAAAGGAAACATGGTTTAATAATAAACCAAAAGAAATATCAAAAGAATAAGCAGTTTCTTGTTAAATGATTTGACAAGATAATCCCATGATATAAAGTCCTAGATAAAAAAACACATACTAAATACGAGAACACTAGAATGTGATACAACATGCAAAGAAATCAATACGTTATAACGTAAACTACGAAATATTTACAGTATCTATAAAACAGTGTAAGATAGCGATCATTATACAAAAGGAGGTGGTGAACACGGGCGATTTTATCTTAAAAATACTTAGTGGGGAGAGAACACAAAGAAGTTCACATGAAAGAAAAGCCAGTCATACTTTTTAAATAAATTTAGACAGCAATTTGCCTTAAAAATGTTAGGATCAAAACATTCAGAAAATAAAATATTCTGAGCTGACATTTCTTTAACTTAATGCAGGCGAGTAACCAGAAACAAATTAAATTTCTCTTTATTCTTCACGGACACTGCGAACGTGTTTCGGAACTGTGAGAAACAGACAGCAGCGGCCAGTGGACAGCATCCCTACGCCGTATTCTGGAAGTGACAGATTCAAATCTTTGCCAGGAGGCCGGCTGTCATAACTGTTCCTCGTGGTTTTCCTCAGTCCTCCCACGCAAATGCTGGAATAGTACCTTTATCAGATCATGACCGCTTCCTTCGTTACAGTTCCTAATTTATAATGATATGTTCTTTTTACGATTTTAAATTAACTCAAATATTAGGGCTGATCAAGTCTGTCTGCATTATTCAACTAAAGAACCGCTGGACGGATTTGGATATAAAATGGTAAGGGCTTTAAGCCATTAACAGCTATCCTATAGTCGTTATTTTCGATTTCATACAATCGTTAATAAAAACATGGCGGACGAACAAACTTGTGAAGTGAGATCAACACTAGCGCCACTTACAATAAGTCCGTATACTAATGTATGATTACAGTTTTGAGAGATCCTTGCTGCCTCAGTCATCAGGACCCTCAAATCCTATTTGTATATAGTACGTTCCACAAGTGATGCAACCCAATGACAAATTAAACGATTGTCATAAAATGGAAGAACAATAAATCGAAACCCATCATGCAATAGACGCCGTACCGACAGTGACGTAACGAGAAAGATTATATGCAAGGTGGGAATACATAATGGCCGTTACTTTCAATAATGTTTGTAACATAAGTCCATTCATCGGTAATCTTTTTAATACGCTCTAAAAACATGCCTGCCACAAACTGTTATCATGCGTAGCAAGAACAGAAAAAGCAAAGTCCAGTCGCTCAAAGTACAAATATTTACGGGTTGTTTTTCAGTTGACTTTTCATGTCAAATGACGATTTGAGTAAAATATAATTTTACATTTCCGAAATAACCAATCACTCAGCAGTTATTGAGATTACTGAAAATTTATAGCCGATTCCAGCATACGTGTTCTCTAATGTGGTCGGATTTATACCTCATAAACACTATGGCTCCAGGTTCATATCCAACTCGGGGCAAGACTACTTTCCTGCTTTTATCTGTATTGTACTCTACATCCTCTGAAAGTCGAGGAATTACGATGTTCTGAACCCTTAGCTTCAGAGACCTGTCATTATCTGAACAGAAATTGTAAGACTCTTGTTAAAGTGGGCCCCACACACACTCAGTTTTTGCGCATTGCGCAGAACAGATTTCCTCTGTTTTAACTGAACGTCTGCGGGGGGACACTCAGAAGCGTTCAGTCCAGTTTTCAGGGCTGAACTAAATATGACACGGCCTGATATTTAATTTCATGTATGAGGTTTTCTCAATGATTTTACGCAGTTACGTCAACTGCGTAATAAATTATTTCGTCAGTAGAAGCCATTCTAACAATAAATTCTCCTAAATGCACACCAACCGAGCTTCATCAAACTGAACAATGTACGAAATAACTGACCTCTGTCAACAAATGGGCATGTACGAACGCCTTTGAGGAATGCTAAGGCTAAAACCAACTCTCAGCGGCCGACTTGTAACAAGTTTGCCTCATGAAGTCTGTACATTGCCAGCTTCCACGGGCGCAATCCCAGAGTAGACTTTTGCATGTAAACCATAAGTTTGAAGATAATAGAGACGTGCGCGTGTAAAAGTGTGAGGAGACACACAAACACACACAAAAACCATTCCCACGCCAAAAATTCAAATTGTTTGTGCTGTTAAATATGTGCAATGTTTCCATACGGCTATTTCACATAGATGTTGGACTGTTATTTCAATTTTGTTGTATTAACTGGTCTAAGAACAAAATTTGTATTTGTTTTGAAAAGTCTGTCCGTTCGTTTACTGACACTTTTTTGAATAAACTGGACCTAATACGAGGGCCTTCCTTTTTAATGTTAATGTGATGAAAGAACAATGTTAGCAGCAGATAGGGCACTACAAATTTGACTAAAGCACACAGAATATTACGTTTCCATAAAAATCTGTGTTATTTATAGTCTAAAAAATGAATCATTGTTTACGACAAAATTCCTTACTGACAGGAAGAAATCGCGGAAGACGGTAATTGAATTGTTCCCACGATCTGTATTAGGTCTTGAGAAATTCTCCGCCCCCACACAATGACAAAAACAAAAGATAATAGAGATGTGAGCCCTCCGAATGCGAAAACGGACATGATTAATGCAGTTGTAATAGGCCTGGACACGGTATCAGAATAAACAATATAAAATTTTACGTCGACAGTTTTCATTGCAAAGAATTTCGAAAGACGCGAAACGCTTTCCAACGTCTGTGTGAAACTGGTAATGCAGAAGAAAGAGAAGTCCCAACACCACTACAAGAAGAAACAGCAAACGTTCTGCGTTCCTCAACAGTTGCTACAAGACGGTTATTGTGTGAGACTACGGGCAGCTGTTAGTTCTGTTAGCGTCTCCTCGTGCGCAGTTCTTACCGGCACTCGACCTGGATTTCGTTCTGGACGTTTTCGAGTTCGCGGCCCCGGAAACTGCTCCGGCGACACCCGGAGACCCGGACACCATCTGGTGGTGCCCCGACAGAGACTTGGTGCTAAACATGGCGGCAGGGTGGTGGTGATGGTGGGACATACCGTGGTGGTTCAGGTGGTGGTGATGGTTCAGGTGATGGGACGGATAACTCACATACGACGGGGTCGAGCCACCACCGGCGTCGTGGTGGTAAGGGGACGGCTGCAGGGGCGGCGGTGGAGGGTAGTGATGCGACTGACTACTCATACCATGCGATGACTGTGGATGGAGGGCGGAGGAGGAACTGTGGAGCTGCTGGGGCCCAGAAGAGTCTCTTGGAGAAGCTTCCCCGGGAGACGCCGCGGATGATGATGTAGAAAAAGCGGAACTATTATTCGAAGCCGTGGACGATGTACCTTCTCTCTGTTTTACGCCGCCAGAAGCATTGGCTCCGCCAGGGCAGGTCCCCGCCGCAGAGGCTGAGGAGTTCAGCATGTTCACCCCCGGTTTGATGTCCAGCGAGCTACTGTTGCTGGCACACAGACTCGATCCCGTGGTGTCCTGGTGGTGCATGAACGCCACTCCCATCGCCGCCGCATGAGCG